ACAGGTCCTGTGACAAGCTTGGCTCTGTCTGCAGTTAACAAATTCATATCATATGGACTCATCGGTAAGGGACTTGCCTCCTGTAGTATAGGATAAATTCTCGGTCAACCCGCTTTCTGTTTCTCCTCTGTCCCTTTCTGTTCTCTTCTTCTTGTGTCAGATTATTCAGTTGTACCAACCTTGGACATAACTTTTCAATGTAAATCTCACAGTGTCATATAAATAAACTGAAAAAAGGAAACAAGCAAGAAATGGCTGCTGCTAACCTATAAGTTTGTGTGTTATTGTCTCCTTCAGATCCTGGAGGTAAATCCGTTCCAACCGCAGTAGAGAACATTGCAGACGCAGTCACACATGCCAGATTTGTTGGCACAGATCAGGCCAGTGATGGGGTGGTGCTTATGAAAATTCTGCAGGTACTCATTACCGTTTACCCCGCTATTATCGCAGTATTATAAGTGTTTGAACCGAAGTATTTAGAAAATATTTGGACCTAAAACGGATGACGGTAGTAGGGATTGGAGAAGTTTTTTTCCTCTACCCCCTCGCCTCATTCTCTGTTTTTCCCACTTGAATGAAAATCCTTGTTTCACGTTAAGGCGTGATGCACATGCACGTTTGCTGCTGCAGGTTCTGCGGACTTTGATGCTATCTCCCGAAGGAGCCGTGCTGACCAATGAGAGTGTTTGTGAGATCATGCTAAGCTGCTTCAGGATTTGTTTCGAGTCTAGACTAACAGGTGGGCAGGAGAATTTTAAAAACTTCATTGTCTGAAGTATATTTGCTTTGACTTTATTCTACAAAGTTTTATCATCGGCATAGAGTGATTGTGATGAATTAGGAAGGATGAGGAAGGAAGCAGTTGCAACCTATTTTATCTCTGCTCTAATCCCTGTGCAGATAGACTGATACGCCATATTTTACCGTGTTATTTAAAAGAAATTAGATTTGTTACTTCTTTTGTGTTAAGGAGTAGAGGCACTTCTCATATCCATATTCAAAAATGCGCTTTTCACTGTGCCTTCCGATCATGATATCCTACATTGCGGTACCTATATTGGTCCACTCGTATGTTCAGAGTTGCTGCGTCGGTCTGCAGAACATTGCCTCAAGGACATGGTGCAACTGCTGTTCTCCAGGCTGCCCCAGTTCTGTGAGGATCTGCGCATTCCGCTAAACATTAAGGTATACGAGAGAAACCGATACAACTAATGTCTACCCAAGTGACTTTCCATATTGTGTACCCAGTCTTGAAGACCACCTGTTTTTACATTTCAAGCGCTTAAGGTAATTTGCCATCAATTTTGCATAGTGTGTGTAACGTTTAACTACTTGAAGGATTTTCACCTTTCCTTCTTATCACCACGGAGCATAATTCTTTTTCAAAAGCTGGTAGTCGTTCAATTAGCGAAGCGAGTCCCTGCCTCTTGTGGAATCTGAAGGGAGGGAGCGATTTCCATTTGTTGTAGCTCGTCTATCGTCCTTTAGTGTACTGTAGTTGGACTACGGATTGTGTTGTTATTGCTTACAGAAATTAAAGATGAGGACAGGTGGAATGGACCAATCAAGAGGCAAACGGAAGAGCAGAACTTCGCAGCGAGGCAAGTTGAGCCGACCGGTGCAGAAGTCTGATGATAGCACCCTGCAAGCTACAAGAGAAAGAACACCTGCCGGTTATCTGGAGAGCAAGCCGCAGGGTAAGCAGATACAAGAGTCGCTGCATCGCGTGTTAAGATCGCATATGGAAAGAGATAAATTTTCAGCTGTTACTGCTTGAGATTTTTAAATGAAGCATTTGCAGTTCCTCCTTATGAGCAACTTGTTCACTCAAACATTATATTATTTTCTTGTTGCTTTCTCATTTATATTGTAAGTAGTGCGGTATTTTCCAGGAATACATTTATCAGGAAGTAAAAGAACTTGTTAAGTTTTACCAGATTCTGATATATAAGATGTACAGAGGCAAACGTTGAAGTTTGTCTTGCATCTCATCTTAAATTCACTGTAAAAACTATATTTATTTTATAACCGCACATTGAAATCACGCATTTTTGGTCTACTATCCCCTCTCTGTCACTGCTCTTAACTTTTTAAGGTAACGCCAATTAAAAATTTATGGCACTGATTAAATTATAATTTTTTTATTTAAGTAACAAATGAAGACTTGGCAAGCCCAGTCGACAAACTGAGCGTTTCGTCCACCGTCCGAGCCCCGCACCTGTCGACGACCCCTTTGACCCCAGCAGGCAACATCGTAGACATGCAAGGCGCGATTCACCGAGGTACCCCACAAACCAATGATGAAACTGGGCAAACCAGACAGGAAGAGAGTTCAAGTGCGAAGGTTGAAAATGAGGAACTGGCCCTAGAGTCCGCAGAAACAGAAAGATGTTCTTCCATTAATGAAAATGAGGACACCCAGTCTAGTTCTTGCGTTGTTATCAATGTAGACATGGACAGTTCTGCTTACGAGTGTGCGGATGGAGACAGTTCATCTCTGTTATCAAGTAAGACTTGTTCTGTAGAGGACATTAGCTCAACGGGGGTGCAGGAGGAGGTAAAGGCCGTAAGTCATGACGAGAAGGTGGTGGATGAAGTGATATCTGGGGCTCCACTGGAAGAAGTGAGACAGGAACAAGAAAGTATGGGTACCGAAGACAATGTCGGCGCCTCTGTTGAAATTCCAAAGTTGAGCAACGAGTCGTCGTCTGTCAGTGTCGAAGAAGAAGAAGAAGAAGATGATGAAGCAGCAAGCGTGAAACGGGGGGAGAGTCGAGAATACATAAATCCGAGAGGGGTGCGATTTATGAGCCAGGAAGTTGGACAAGATGGTGAGTAATTTTTCCTCTTGCATGGTTCAGACATTGTGAGAGTTGAAATCAGCCATCTCGATCTGTTGAGACTGACTTGCGTTAACCCTCACCCTGTGTAACGTCGGCAATTTCCATGTTTTCAGGTTCACAGCCACTTGTACCGTACGGTGTGGCGTGCGTTCGAGAGCTGTTTAGGTTTCTTATCTCGCTATGCAACCCCCTGGACAAACAGAACACAGAGACGATGATCCACATGGGGCTCACTCTCCTCACCGTGGCGCTGGAGATAGGAGCCGACAGCATAGGGAAATATAACTCTCTGCTGAGTCTGGTGAAAGACGAGCTGTGTCGGAACCTCTTCTCTGTAAGTTTGAGATTGAAACTAATAGCAGAGAGGTGGGTCATACATTAGTTAATCACTTTATTTAAGCAGTTTTTAGTCATAGAGACATCTTCATGGGGTCCGCAGTGGCCACGCGGTCTGAGGCGTGGGCCTTGTGGCGCTAGGTCGCTGGGACCGTGGATGTTTGTCCGCGTTTTTCTGTGTTGTGCCGTCCTGCGTACAGGTAGAGGCCTTGCGACGGGCCGATCCCTCGTCCAAGGAGTCCTACCGAATGTCCACAGATCAAGCCAACTGAAAAGTTAGGGACCCGTAAAGGGTACCGGAAAATGTACAAATTTTGTTAAACCGGAAATAGAAGAAGAAGAAATCTTCATGTAACACTGGATAGTTTTAATTAGTTTATTTAAGTCGCGTAGATAATATTTGCAAATTAGCGTCTGTACCTCACTGCTGCTTCCGTTATCTGTGCAGTTGTTGAACTCCGAGCGACTGTCGATATTCGCGGCAGACCTCCAGGTTTCCTTTCTTCTTTTTGAGGCGCTTCGAACACACCTGAAGTTTCAGCTGGAATTCTACCTCACCAGAGTTATTGATATCATCATCTCAGACTCTCCAAAGATTAGCTACGAGCAAAAGGAAATAGCCCTAGGTAATGCTCATTACTAAACAGTGCACAGTCTGTCTTTTCTGCTTCAATCCAACATTTGCAACGACTACCAGTTTGTTTTATGTAATTTTTGAAAAAGTAAATTTTGATGCATTAAAATCTGCATAAAGGTTCCCCCCACAATATAAATGGGCTTCTTCGTCAGTGTATATGCGTGCAGGCCATCATCTGCGTTGTCAGCAACTGAAGCAGACGGTGCGAGTCGGCATGAAATGCTGATTGCGTAGTCATTTCCATAGGGAAAAATGTATGACTTTGCGTTGCGTAGAGTTGTAACTTTTGGCCTTACGTGATGTTATATTGGGTGGGATATCTTGACCATACATTTTACGTAACCTTTTTTTATTTCCGTAGATTCTGTGGTGCAACTGTGGAGAATTCCTGGTTTTGTGACTGAATTGTACCTCAATTATGACTGTGACCTCTACTGTCCAAATTTATTTGAAGACTTGACAAAATTATTGTCCAAGGTGAGGTAAAACGTTTGTCATTTGTTGCATGATCATTTGCTATTACTTTTATGATTAAGGAGATTAATGTCTTTATGATCCTTTTCAAGCAGATAGATATATATGAATCGCGGTTTCATATTTCTTAACCATATCATAATTGTGGCCAAATTACCTGTCGATATGTGTTTCAGGACTTCCCCACACCTCTCCTGTGGAGAATCTGAAGTCTCACCGAACATTAAATCGTGGCTATACTTCTCTTGTGGCATTGTGAATTTTGATAATTTTCAGAATGCATTTCCTGTGTCTGGGTTGTACAACACACATCTGCTCTCGCTCGACGCTCTGCTGACGATTATTGACTCCATCGAGGGGCGCTGCCACAGTCGTATTCTCAATGAGCATCAGGAGGATCGAATAGGAGCAGGTTATTAACTAACGGCAGATGTTTGCTGTTTCCCTAGAATAGAATAGCAATGGACGAATTTTGACATACCAGTCTGTCGTTAAGGAATTTTGTCATCATGTGTGAGTTGCTGTACACTGATACAGAGGTCATGTTTCAGAGGAATATTCTGCCTCCGTCTTCAGGGCTGTTGAAGATGGAGACAATATGTTTTCTCAAAATATTGGTATCTGCCTATGAGTATACACAGCATTAGTTTTTTCTGGAAATGATCATTGTGCAACTGAAACTGTTGTATTATTTCTTTGTTTGTTTGTTTGTTTATCTAATTATTGCATTACAAAAAGAAGAAAAATTCTTCTATTAATCTGGTGTAGAGAAGTTACTTTTTTAGTGATAACTGGCTATAAAAATGAAACAAAAGTGTCGTATGCATTTCAGATGGCACCTCAGTGAAAGTTTCCTCATCAGAGGCTGATTCGGAGACCGGAATAGCAGTGGTGCTGCCTGGCGGTGGTCGTATTCCAAACGCGGGGAGACAACGCATCTCTGAGAATATTCCTTCGCACGAGCTGCTGATGGCTATTAAGCACAAGAAGAAAGTGAGTCAAGATTCTTATAATGCGAACACAGCATCACAGGAGTTCTTAAAAAAAAAGGCGGCAGATGTGGCCTGAAGTCTTAAAAAGTTACGAACTTCTGCTCTGGTGTTTATTAATTTTATGACGAATGCCTTTGTAAAATTAATCCCAAAATTTTCAGATAACTTCTGCATACATATAATACATCTAATAAGTTATCTTATTGGTTGATTTTTCACAATCATACAAGTAGCTTTTATCATGTCAAAAAATGCTGGAAGGTTAAACCAAACAATAGTTACGTGATGTGTTCTATGCGCGTTTCAGCTTCTAGCCACGGGCTCAGAACACTTCAACTCGAAACCAAAGAAGGGTATCCAGTTCCTACAGGAGAGCCATCTGTTGTCAACACCCGTAGACCCACAAGAAGTGGTGCATTTCCTGCGAGAAAATCCGCGCTTGGACAAGAAGATGATCGGGGAATATATCAGCAGTAGGAGCAATCTACATGTGCTGGATAGCTTCGTCAAGTGAGTTGCTCCAGGAAGGCTGTAAGTCAGTACACCCACCACAAGTCTCAGTTGAAGCCACGCGGAATTAACCCGGGTTTCTGCGGCGAGAAGTCGGCACCTAACCACCTGAGCTACTGTGCAGCCCCAGTTATAACGAATAGTATACACAAAACTACGCAAACTTGCAAGAACTGAAATGTGTTTTATGGTTCATCGTAGGTCCTTTGACTTCACTGACACGAGAATTGACGAGGCCTTGCGGCTGTATCTTGAAACGTTCCGTCTTCCTGGCGAGTCACCACTCATCTCGCTCATCATGGAGCACTTTGCTGAGCACTGGCATGTATGTATGCATCACCAGCATAAGTCATACTGGCATTATAATTTCTGTGCGTATTAACTGTAATGAACTTGGTAAGTTGTAACGAAGATTATTTTTTTCCCTTTTTGGTTCGTTGTCTGATTATGTAATCAGAGAGTGGTACTTGTTAGTTAATGAATATGTTAGTTATTTAATTTAAATGTATTAAGGTGTGGTTACCTCAATATCTAAGTGCTGCATCTTGACTTCTACGTTGGATGGAGATTGGTAGAAAAATTCATGCTTTGGCAGCTTCTTCTTCTTCTTCTTCAATGTCTCTCCGGTCCGTATTCGGTCCATGGCCTCCTCAATTCTCCTCTTCCATTTGGTCCTCCGTTAGGTCCGTCTGTCCGAGGCTTTGATCGAGGTTTCGAAACATCTTCCTTTTTACGGCGCAACCTGGAGGACCAGGGTACCTGTCTTACTCCGACCTCTCCCCCTCGACCTATCTGGCTGGGGAGGCCCTACCAGTAGCTCTTGGGGTCACTGAGGTACTCAAGCACCAGCACCACGACAAGGTGCAGGTACCATTAAGTGGCAGCTTCATACCATGGGAAAAATCATCGTATATCAATATGCCGAAAGCAGTCGCATGGAAAGTATCGAGACGGTCGCGAGGATTAGAGTCTGCATGTGGTGGAAACATTTTGTGAATTGGTCACTTATTTTCAGGTTTTAGCTGCTCATTTATATCTTTGCACTGTACAGAAACAGAACGGCGAACCATTTGCCAATGCTGACGCAGCGTTCACGCTGGCATACGCTGTGATAATGTTGAATGTGGACCAACATAATTACAATGTGAAGCGACAGAGCAACCCCATGACTGTGGATGAATTCAAGAGGAATCTGAAGAAGGTGAATGGAGATCAGGATTTTGATCAGGACCTACTGGACGATATATACGTTGCTATCAAGTGAGTACATCACCGTGATTGAGTGGTTAGCATCTCATGATCATGTAGTGTTCAGATATTATGGTTGCAGACCAACTTTTTAAGTGTTAAATTAATTAATTCCTTCAATGTTCAGTCATATTCATGTATTCCATCAAGAGTCTGTTGGGTAATGTCAGTGCGTAATCTGTTCGTCTCTGCTTTGGCGTAAGCACGGCTTTTGTACGTGTTTTTTTTAGTCTTTTCCTGCTGGTTTGTGTATTTTGTGTCATGTGGGCTATCCATCATTTTCTTTATCCCCCCCATTCGTCGTTTATTCAACATTTTTATCTTTGATGTTCTCGTAGGAATCGTAACCCATGACCAGACCACCGCGTACTTAATTTGATCAATTTAGAACAATTTATTTTAAGAAAAATCTGCATGAAAAATGGACACCCCAATACATTTATAAATATTGTCATATGGAACGTAACGCAGTTTTCTCGCAGATTGTTTTCGTTGTCTGTTTTATTTCTGTCGAATCATGTGGGTGGTTTCTCGTAATCTTGCCGTTTGGGTTAGAGATGACTTGTGGCGTCTTCTTCCAGGACAGACGAGATAGTTATGCCAGCAGAGCAGACTGGCCTCGTGAAGGAGAACTACCTGTGGAAGGTGTTGCTGCGTAGAGGTGCTAGCAAAGATGGTGTCTTCATACATGCACCAAATGGCCTATTTGACCATGACCTATTCTCCCTCATCTGGGGACCAACAGTTGCTGCCTTGAGCTATGTGTTTGACAAGAGTTACGATACCACGATATACCAGAAAGCCGTCTCTGGGTTCAGGTATGGTGTATTTTTAAATGCTGAAATTTATAATTTGTTTCGAGGCAGCTTTGTTTTGAAAGTCTTGCTTGAAAAATAAATTGTATTAATCACTTTGCATGCCTGCAATACATTTCTATCTATTTTGCTAGCTCTGTACCTTTGACGTTGATATATTTTTTTTTACTTTTACATTTCAGTTATTTAAACCAACAATTTATTTGATTTTGATAGGATTAGGGGGACAAGGAATGCATACAGAATTTTGGTATGAAATCTCAGAAAATACTCACAGTAGATTTATGAGTGAAACTGCGCAGGATCTTGTAGATTTAATTAATTAGTACGATGAGTTTTAGTGTAATAAGTTGAGGTTGGGATGTGGATAGAACTGGCTCAGGATTGTGTCCAGTGGCGGGCTTTGGTGTTAGTGGTGTTGAACCTTCAGGTTCTGACACCAGAGACTTACTTATTTAGTGAGATAAAGTAATGTCTTATCTCAGTCCATTCTTATTATGTTATTTCTTTGAAACTTCTTGTACTGAAATATATCTCATATTTCTTTGTTGAACTGAATCACGCATTAACTTATGATGCAGGAAGTGCGCGATGATCTCGGCTCACTATGGGATGAGCAATGATTTCGACAATCTTGTGATATCACTGTGCAAGTTTACGACGCTGCTCAATACTGCCGAGACACCCGAGAACCTGACTATCTTGTTTGGTTCGAACCCGAAGGCTCAGCTGGCTGCCAAGACCGTGTTTAACCTCGCTCATCGCCATGGGGACATCCTGCGAGAAGGCTGGAAGAACGTTCTTGACTGTATGTTGCAGTTGTACCGCTGCAAACTGCTACCAAAAGTTATGGTTGAGGTGAGGGCTCGGACATATCGCGTCGGTTGCGTAATTCTAATGTATGAGGCCATTTCAGTACATTCTCTTAAAATTCTACCTCTAAAATTACTTAAAAGTTATATCACCTACTGATTTGAATGGACATGAAACTTTGTCTATTCTCGGGGAAGAACATGGATTGAGGGTGTTTGAGGACGAAGTTCTAGGGAGAATGGATGTAAGAGTGAGTATGTAACAAGATGGAGAAAATGACAGATAGAGGAGTTTCACAACATGTATTTTTCACATTGTAGGGTCATGCAATGTAAGAAACAAAAGGTGCAGACAGAGTTTTGTTAAGTGAGATTTCGGGTTCTCACGGTTGTGAGTGTGAAGATGTCTGTTTTCTGGGCTGTTGCACCATGCAGTCTCGTAGGAGTTTACCGCTTTTCAGAGGTGCTTGCTGCCTGCACCATAATTTAATAGCAAGGTGCAACAACCCAGAAGTCAACCATCTTCAAGGGTTTCTTTTTGGAAAAATCAAGGTGAAGATAAATGGAGCCATGTTGAGCTGACTCATAAGGTCCAACGGTCGACTTTTATGATGAAGTTCTGGATGTTCTTGCATTCTGTTGTTGCAGGCTGAAGACTTCATTGATCCGAGTGGCAAGATCTCGCTGATGAGAGAAGAGACACCGTGTCAGAAGACAGAAACTGGATTGCTCAGTTCCCTGTATTCATACATTGCCTTGGCATCAGGTAATGTCAGCTTGCAGAGAAATGGCCACAGAGCAGGCTTGAAGTCGCGCAGATTTTTTTCTTCAATCAGTATTTTGGGGTTAACTGTCTAGTAGCTCAGGAACTTAGAAGCCCATCATGACACCCAATTTGAATCCCATGGTAGTCCATTTAGGATCTGTGGGGCACTGTTTCAGGTTTTTCTTCTAATAAATCTGCGATTTCTTGACAATCAGTTGTCGAACCTGCTATTAGAACTCTCTTATATTGTCACTGCATTGTGTGAGCGAGGAAATTGTGTTTCAGAACCTTCCACCCAAAAAGTTCCATCACCTGAAGATCAGGAACACATACAGAGGGCGCACTCATGCGTCAAAGAGTGCCACCTCGAACAGCTTATTAATGAATCCAAATTCCTTCGTTTGGACTCGCTGCAAGAACTGGTGAAGGTATATTTGTTCGCTTATTCTAGCTCATTTAAGTCTGTATCAAAATACCTTGATTAAAAATTATTTATAATCCATAGACTTGCAGAAATGTTTACTCGTGCTGTGTCTGCAGGCGTTGATATTTGCGTCACATGGACCAGATGGTCACATTTCTTCGGGAATGTCTTACGATGAAGACGCTGCTGTCTTCTTCTTGGAGTTGCTTCTTAAAGTTGTAATTCAGAACAGGTAAGAGCTTTTTGTTTACCTGATAAGCTTGTGTGCGCCTCTCTCCCGATATATATTCGGGCGGGCGACTGATTTCCACCAGTGTCGTGCAGGGGACGTCACCCCACATCTCACATTCATACTTTTTAATTTTAATTACCTGGCTTCACAATCATCATTCAATGTATGACCCTAAGATTATCTTTGGTAATAATTCTTTATAAAATATACAATTTTTACCTCGAATGTAAAATAACGGAACGAGAACTTCACAGAATTTGTAAGTACTGACCCTTTGATACTGAGAACTGATGAGAAAAGTTGAATGTGAAATTTGATACTGAAATAGATGTTGTCAGTTCAACCAAGCACCCCCCCCCCCCCCCGCCCAAAAAAAAATTCTGAGTGGAAATGTTTGTCTTTTAATTGTGTGGTATTTTGTATGTGTGTAGTGCTGGAAGAAGAATTAGAATTGAATGTGATGGAAGTTATTTAATTTCTTTTTGTAGCCAGGAAGCATAAATCCTGCTTTTAACCCAAAGTGCAGTGTTCTCATCTGTGTTTTGGCAGAGACCGAGTGAACACGATCTGGCAGGGTGTGCGCGATCACATCTACAGTCTAGTAATGGGTGCGGCAGCATGTGACGACCTGTTCCTCATGGAGAGATCAATTGTCGGCCTTCTCCGCCTTGCAATGCGCCTCATGAGGAGAGAGGACATGAGCCCAGTGGTGAGTCGTGTGATGTTTTCAGAACTCTCAGAATTGAACCTGAAACAATAGTGATCAAGCCAGAAAGCGCTGTTCTGTACGTATTCGACAGTCTAATGCGGTAAATGTTTGGAGACTGATTTTTCTATAGCGTACAAGGTGACTCTCATTATACAGACTTTCATTATCCATGGTTTTTGCATATCCACTGTTTTATTTCAGTGCTGTGACGAGCGTCAGTGTCCTATTCGCTGCCATGCAGGACCACTTAGTTGCACGCCCAATTTCACTGATTTTCCCCACCATTTGACTTGGGGGGGACCACAAATTCAGGCGTTTCACAGTTTATTACTCAGATAAACGCAGGCATGTTTTACATCTCCGTGCATTTACCATGGATTTGGTGTTCATAGGCAGATATAAATATCGAAGACATTTGCTTTACTGTCATGTGGAATTATGAGGAGTTGTGTCCGATTTCCTTGAACGTGCTGGTATTGTCTCAGGTGTTGCAATCGCTACGTATGCTGCTGCTCCTCAAGTCTGCGACTTTGTTCCGAGTTTCTCGCCAGATTTCATATGGATTGTATGAGCTCCTCAAGACCAGTGCAGCCAACATTCACTCAGATACAGATTGGTCCATCATTTTTACATTGTTGGAGTGCGTTGGTGCTGGAGCGCATCCTCCCGTTGTTGTTGGTGATAACAGCAAAGACCAAAACGATCAAGGTTTGTTATATCACAAGTTTTAAAATGGTGTATGAATCCTTCAGATTGGTGATTGTTATGTTATATGCCAGTGACTGTCACAAACCTCATGCCTTTTTCCTGTCCATCTCTGGTGTTATAAATACATTATTTTTGTCTGTAAATAATGCGTCTCCAAATAATGACGTAGTCCTGTGACCCTATGGTAACGAGCATGTTACGGTGACTGACCACCCAAAAGCTAGTTCTTAATTTTATAGATCAAGAGATGATGCAGACTGTTACAATTCATATACAGAGTGGTGCAAAAATTCTAATGAATTTGAAGAGAAAGAATAGTCTAGTGTGAATTGTTATGGAGCGAAGCAAACAAGGTATCTGAATGTGTCTTATACAGCAGCGAAGTCAGATGGAGATGTGCCCCATGACGAAGACAGCGGTTTGGGCAACGAGCGAGGTTACACGTCTGACTCCGAGCTCAGCAGAGTTACCGTGAGACATCACGGTAGCTTGGTGTCGAGACCAACGAGCCCTGAACTGTCTCCGAACAGTGGCGGAGGGTGGATACTGGTGAGTCTTGTTACATAAGTCGTCGTGGTGTTCTTTCAGTGGGACGAGTTGACAGATGGGAGGTTCTGCAAAGGAGGAAATAAAGAATCTGGTATCATAGAATCTCAAGTAATAGAAATATTATTTGTGGTGCATGTAAAATAAATATATAGTTCAGTAGTTGTCATTCTTTTACAGGCATGGTTGTTTCCTTGTTGAGAGAATATTTATCATTCAAAATAAAGGATCCTGACTACCAATTTAATGTTGCCGAAATAGGGGGCAGCCATATGCACATGGCATGTTGGTACTCACGAACAGGAAGGATACAAGTTTCCTCCTTAAATAGTTACAGATGCGTGTTTCATAGAACACTATTGCATGCAAAAGATAACCACGTTTTCTGTGTGCGTCTGGTTAGGTAAATCTGCCCTTAATAGTTTTGGGTATGTTTCCAATTTAATTTCTTATAACAGTTTGAGAGAAAACTCGTAATAAATTTCTAAATTTATTCATAATAGGTGATGGAATATTTTCGAAGGAGGCAGAATTAAGTCATTATGAGAGTAGTTTTTGAATTTGAGATGTTTAACCATGACCGTTTGGTGGGAAAAAATATTTGTAGTCTGTCAATGTAAGAAATGTTTTTGAAATATTTCATAAGAATTTTCTATACACGTATTTTGTGTTATGACCTGTGAATGGCATATGTATGAAGTGTGTATTGTATATATACACGTGAATTGTAGGTTATGTTTCCGTGTTGTACGAAAGGAGAGACGGTTAGCACTCCCCTAGACAAGGATGGAATACACAAATATTGGTTAAGGCACTGCTGCTTGTCAGCACTTAACCACATTTTTTATAGATTTCACAAAATAGAGCATAAAATGTTTTTGATTTTGTGCTCAAAGCTACTCGGATTTTAAGAGAATTTAGCTTCAGAGATGATGAGAGATGTTTTTGTTGAAGTATAACCCGTATCTAACAATCTTTGTTGCTTTTATTTGAGAAAGAAAGTAAATGACCACTTGGAGCAGAGTACTTAATGAGAAACTTATATACAATACAATAATTTTATTCACCGTCTTTACACAAGCTTATAGATTGTTAAAATCACATAAAATTATAACATTTCAACATTTGATATTGTTACATTTTAAAATGACGACATGTTTCGATGTTCATTCCATCATCGTCAGGTCTATCAATTAAAATTAAAAACTGTTGCAC